CTCACTAGTTGTTATGAACAAAAAAAAAAGAAGGAAGAGGAAGAAGAAGATGAAGTTAACAATTGTAGAAACATATTATAAACTCTCGATTTAAACGTACAATTATTTTCGATTTCCGTATTGGAACGAAGAATAATATTCTAAACGCGTTAACACGTTGACCGCCGAAACTCTTCGTTATTGGTACTCCAATGATTTTCTTTAACATTAAACGTTACGAATATTCACGACTTCGTAATTGCCATTGAAACATACATCTCGCTGTTGAATTCAATTGTAAGTTACCGTTGTATTCGTTGTGATTTAACTGTGTTCACGATATTTACGATTGTTTCTTCTCGCGCGAACGAGAGGCGACGGTCGACGTGTTGATTAATCATAAAATTCGATAGGAAGCTCGAAATCGATGAACGATAATCACGAACGATGGTTAAAGATTTGAGATTTTAGACGGAGAAAGGTGAAACGAATTTATTGAAATTTGTCCTTCCTCGAGGGGCGTGACTTCAATGCATACGTAGTAAACATTGTACGATAAAGAGCACGCGATGGTTACGAGTTTAATGTAGTGCGTTTACCGCTCATTACGGGATAAGAGAACTGTTTATACTTAATAGTTATATTTTTTTGATAATTGTACACGATTCGATCCTTTTTTCCTGGGAGTGTGTCGTTTAAGGGCCCGGGAACAAAATTCTCAAACCTCCGTGAAACGAACGAGTGTATTCTACCTTTAAGGTGTACTATTGCGAAATCAAAACCGTTAGGGACTTAACAAAGGAAAAGGGCGGGGTAAAGGTCATTCTCGAAACGGCGTTTCTCGTTATGTGCATTTCCCGTGAAAGCGTGTGAGCTTCTCAACCGTGCGAGAAATTTATTCGAAGTATTGGAAAACAACGCGGTATTGATTTACATCGATTCGCTTTTAAAAATAAATATATTCCATGGGCATTTCGAGACCATTTTCGACATTGTCAAGTAAACAGCGAATGTTTAATATGAACATTCAATGATATTCTATTTTAACAAGTTTCTGTCATTTTTAATTCGGTAGAAGATTCAATGAAGCGAAGATATCTTTGTTTCACCGTTAGTCTTGCAATTTTTTCTATAAAACTCTGTATTTTAAACTGTTTAAGCATAACCCGTTGGTTCATAAACAAATACCAAATTTTATGCATTTATTTATAACGTATATAAATTCTCTGTTTGAATTATTAGAGTAATGAAAAATATCTCTTGATTTTTTAATATAGTGAAAAAAAGAGTTTTAATTGTAATTTCGCTTGAACTCGCGAATGCGTTGAAAGGTATCAGAAGCGGTCGAAGATGCACGTAACGATTATAAGCCTCGATTCACGGGAGAGATTGTATTTTAAATGCTGTTTCCCGTGATCTTGTCTGTCCGCCGCGATGACGCTAATCGAATATTTTTTAAGCGATTTGTTGTCGGTACTTCCGTACAATCGTTCGAACGAAGTGTTACTCATATTCGACTGGACGGTAGTGGATATGTGATTTTAAATGTAAAATACGCGGCGTGCCGGTGTCCTTCGACGAAATAATTTACGATACAGCGGTGAACATTGTTCAAAGCTACTGTCCAATAGAATGTGACGAAAGTCCGGCGTTTAACCAGTTAACTGCGGAATTTACCGTGAAAAATGTCTCGTGCGGCGTGTAATAAAATCAACCAACGACAATGAAAATCATACGAACACAGAACAAATGCACTTGTGTGTATATTAATATCAAAACTACTGAGCGTTTAACACGACTAATGTGTAATCCTTATAAAAATTGTTGTAACACATTATTCTCGGTTTCTGTATACATTCATTACAGTATCGAAGAGAAATTATTTATCGTTCAAATCATCTCGGATACTGAACAGTTTCAAGGTATCGACAATGAAATTAATACCGGCCATTTTAACGAGTGCAGTAGTTCCAATGTTAAAATAAGAAACTAAAGCAACACAAACCAGAAGTGCGTACACGTTTATTTGAAGAAAGAAATGCTTCATTGTCGAAGTAATTAGTGTTATTTCAACGCGAAGGGTGTACTCGTCGAGCACAGTTAACTGGTTAATTGGCGAGTTACGATTAGACTGCGGATTCGACCGTGGCGTACGAAGTCGCGTGAAATGCTGACGAAATATTTTTAAATCCGGACCAATACTGCTTGTCTCGTTATTTCAATATTTTTTTTATTTCCAACGTTTTTGTTCCCCTTTTTTCGTTTATATCCACGATCTCGGTTTATACAGAATACTGAAATAGAGGGAAATAACGATTTACATAAGCATCCGCAGTTTAAGTTTAATTATGATATCATGTCGTCCCAGAAAGTGTTGCGTATTTTGAAAGTTTAGTTTGTTAAGTCTCGAGTAGGATAAAGCGATCGCAGTCGTTGAAATGTATTCCATTAAGACTCGGCTGCGGATGTTTATGCAAATGCGGATCTTTATGGGCTAATTTAACGAAGTTGTTATTAAACAGAAACCCATTGACTCTATCAGACTGAGAACGACATAAAAATCTCGTGAAACTCGATGAAAACGTTTAGTATATTGTTTTTTAATCTCTTCAGGGCTGCATTTTATTCGGCTCGTTAAGAATATTACGTCGCCTCATTATTTTACTGTTGAAATTGAATTTTAGCTTATCGTCCTTTCGAGATATACACAGCGAACGCATGAAACTTCGCAGTCTAATCGTTCCGTTAAAAATTTCATTCTTCCGTTAGCGCTTTGACTGGCAAGTAGACACTCGATACGCTACATCGCCAAGAAAATGGAAGTTTAACGCTAGAACTACCGAGAATTTTATACGATCAATCTGTGATCCTCACGAACATCGTAACAATCAATTTTTTCCTGTATTCTTTACAGTGTTCAAGTATTTATTGTTAGTACTATTTATTTTTCAAATCATTTCAGACATTCGATACTTCTGAGATACCAATAATTCCAGAACGAGGAGACTGATACCCGCCATTTTGACGGGCACGCTATGTCGGACATTCGTTACTTTCGAAATACCGATAATCGCAAAACAAGGAAATTAGTATCCATCCTTCCGACAGGTACGGTAGTTCTAGCGTGAAGATTCCGTGACGAATTCGTACGACTTGACGGTCAAAGTGATAGTGGAATAACAATGACGCGACACGAAGGATAGAAATGTCGAGCAATATTTTCTGGGTCACCGAATAGTTGATAAGCAACTTTCGTTGGTATTGTTTCAGGGCTTTAAACAGTAGACGTAGTAAGCTGTATAAATAGCGAACTATTTTTTATCGGAAGAAGTAAAAGAGCAAGTCCCTCCGCAAGGAAGACAAAGAAAGAGCGTCTCCTTAGAAAATTCGTGGTCCGTTTCGTTCTTCGGCGAAAGACTGTATCGTGTTCCGTGTCATGAGCGTTTTAGGTCTTCCCTTAACATAATTACGTAGCGCGTACGCATGATTTATCAATCTCCGGTGCATGTCTTTATGATGTTACTCATCGTTGTTCCTGATTATGCGATAGTTTTATATTTTTCTATTAACGACGATCCGTTTCGGAGGTCCCCGTTCGCGGTTATCCAACGGCTGCGGATATTCATGCATATATTCTATGAAACGATTATCTAAACGCGAGATAAAGAATGCTCGGAAACAGCTAAACGTTGCGACAGTTTTTCCTTGTAGAATTTTACGGTCTGAGTGGCACGGGTCTTCACGAAAATCGGAAAGTGCCAATTTTCGCGTAAAAGAATTCTACATGGCGCGATCGATTCTGTTTCTAAGCAAGCAACAACAAAAATTGATTATTGAAAGATAAATGAAAATGAACGATTAAAGGGAAAAGGAAACACTCCAGGATTTGACAATTTTTCTGTTAACAATAAATATCAACGCATAAATATCCGTGGTCCGATTATCGAATGTAAGGTGTATTACTTTAAACATTACTCTCCTTTAAAATACTCGATCCCTCTAGTTTACTTTTCATTTCCATTAAACGAAATTGGTCCGTGGACCGACATCCGTACGATTCTTTTCACCGAATCTAATATTCGTTTCCTTTCGGATCCCCGTAACGTTAAACGAACGCGAGGAAACAAAGCGTTCGAATGGAGAACTGGGTAATATATTTTCCTTTGTTGCTCGTGTGCGAATCGAATGCAGGAAACGTGTACTTTATGCATGAACGTAATGGAATATGCGAAACCGTCGTACATTATTTTCGTATGGACGTGACGAGTATGGGTACTGTACACTTTATTTCCGAACTTTCGCCGTTATCTGGGAACCGAGCGTTCCCCGGCGACACGAGAATCAAAATACCGCGCGCGCGTTTCGGTTGTTCGAACGACGAGCGTTTTCATTCGGACAAGTCGAATTTGGTTCACGGAGCGGCTCCGAGGACGATAACTTTTATTTAAATCTTGCGCGATCCCGAGGATCGGAGCCGATAAAATTACGGCGCGGCCGTCGTGAACGCTGACAATTAAGAGACACGATGAAACCAAAAATAAACGTAATGGAAGAAAATGGAACTATGTTATAATAAAGTAATAAATAACTTCTTTTCGTCTGAAATTCTTTTCCATTCAAGATATCACACGAATTACACGCATTCGTCTGTGTACTCCTTTGAAAATTTTACGAACTTCTTGTTCGTTACAAGTACTTCCGTTGTTTTTACGGTAATCCTTTGTTATTTATTCGTTTCTGATGTATCGCTGCAGGCGATAATGTCCTCTTGTACAAGGGAGGTGTATAGTTGTACAAAAACTGATTTGAATTATTTTTAACGTGGAATATATTTTATTGATTGAATCATTGAAATTACAGGCGAGCGATTCGACGTGACCGTCGAAGCGAACCAATCTTCTGGAAAGTATCCGATCGAAATAAAAGGTCTTCAGGATTGCCGAGACCTTCGGCAAGTGGCTCACGTTCTTTATAATGAGGTGGAACTGCAAGCGGCGGAAATAAAGGACGGAGAACCATTGGAAATCGATGACGATGAAATTGCAAAAACTGGTTACGATTGCGACGAAGAGGGGAACGTCATTTGCGCGTTGGACTTGAAAGGGCCAACGGGGACGATGTCCGACAATGAAGTGTACAACGTTATCTACATTCCGTTCGATGTTAATGATTATCTATCCATTACGGACGAAATGTCTGATAACAGATACATCGTTTACGGTTGCTCGTATTATCCCAGTTATCTGAGTAAGCATGTGTGCATTAATTTTTCATTCTGCTGTGTGTCAGGAAGAGATGGACCACTTTGTTCTTAGAAAAACTGTTACGTCATGAATATCATTAATGTCTAACTATATTATCTATGTTTACATTATATATTATATTATATTATATTATATTATATTATATTATAATATATTGTATTATATTATAATAGACATTAATATATGATATATAATCTAATATATAATATTAATTATATGTTAGATTATATATCTAACTATACACGGAAGTAAATGCATATAGAAGAACAATTAAAAACAGTTGGAAATATAGATACTTGATAATTTAAATAATCGGGCCATCTCACCTGGAATTATCTCATTAGATTTTGCTTCAATTGAACTCATTAAAATTACTAATGTGCAAAATTGATAAAGCAACTGGTTTCTTTCGTTTTTATAATAGTTTCTCTAAGTTGGAAGGTTTAGTAATATTCGTTTGGCGTAAATTAGACGTAAATTGTTTGATATCTTTATTGGCTATAATCATTTTAATTGGAGCTTGTGGAAGATACTCAGCTAATCTAAGAGATACTGAAATAGATGCTAATGTATTACAAAGTTATATTTTTCTACTAATTGCAGGTAAAAAACAAGGTGAAGCGAAGATCGCGCAGATTAACGGCATGACGTTCAAATACCCTTCCTCCCCGCTGTTATCGCAACTGGAAAACGTGCAGAAAGAATCAATTTGCTCCCTCGAAGAAGGCTCGAAGCAGTGCATCGACACACCATTGTTCTGCGAATGCACTCAGATAATCGAGGTTTCTGCCCAGAAATATATTGAAATCGTATTGATAGACCAAGGTATATTCTATGCTTCCAAATAATTGTTTGCACAATTTCGACATCTTTGAAAATATTGATTTCAATTTTAGAGTATGTGGAAGACTTTGCATCAAGATAATCTTTCTATATGTATATTCATTACACGCTGTATGATACAAATGTTATAATCATTAAGAATTAAACTGAAGATAATAAGAGTGAAAAATAATAATTGTTCTTTTATTTAGGTTTCGGTGGGAACGCTTCTCACGTTTTTCATATACACGGTTACAACGCGAGCATTGTAGGAAGAGGCAACTTCAAAGAGCCAATCACCAGAGAAGAAATTATGGAGTTATACTATGACGGAAAGTTACCCCGTAATTTAGTGGATCCACCACAAAAGGATACTTTCGTTGTACCCAATAAGGGTTACGTTATACTTCGTGTCTTTACTGACAATTTGGGTAAGAGTTTCACTGTACATTTTTACTGTACAAAAAATGATTTAATTAACAATAACTCAGTACCAGTAAATGATACGTTACATAAAGATAATATTTATATATTGATATATCTACATAGTTTGCAATCATTTTCTGATATAAATATGCTGTTTTCTTAGATAGATTATTATTTTCAGGGTACTGGTTATGGGAATCACGTAGCACAGCGATTTCCCCTCAAACATTTGGACCTGGTATGCAATTTGTATTAAAAGTGGGAAGCGACGAGAGTTTCTCAATTGTTCCTTTAGATTTTCCAACTTGTGGAAATAACAAACCACCAGACTTAGTATTCGAAACTGAAATGTAAGTCACCAATTATAATGAAACCTCACGCTATTGTACATTATTTACAGATTTATAATAGTAAACTTTTGCTTTACGCTTCAAACTTCATTTTATTATCGTGTATCGTGAAAATCTCGAAAAGCGAAGTGAATCAATTATATTTGAAATTATATCTACTCGATATGTACATAACACACATACTTCCTACATTCAATTTAAGGAAGCAATAGCGTTAGATATCGATACTTTTTATTATCAAATTGTTTTCCCGTAACTATATACATATACTGTTCATCTTTGGTAGTCGACCTGTTCAATTCGTGTTTAGAATGTATAAATTGAAATGTACCAAAATGAAAAATATATATTACATATTTATTTTCATAATAATTAATATATATTACATTGATTATTCTGGACAAAGAATGTGCAGGCATCAGTTGTTCGGAAAACTGAAGCCGTAAAAGTCCTGCAAAGTTTGCAACGGCGGTTTCCAGTTACTGCACGTAGGGAACTCTGGCGGTATCGGGGGTAAATCACTGTGGTCTCCTACTTGAATAACTAATTCCATACCAGTGGCATGATGCCACGAGAAATGACAATGAATTAACCAATATCCTGCAAAAGAAAAACAGATCAATTGTTAATTTGCCTGTTTGGTTGATCATACAGTAACTATACAATTCACGAGTGCATAAACAGAGGCTTCAGAACAGAAGAAAATTTCACAACTTCACGGTTGTCTGTACACTTTTACTGTTTTAAACAAATATTCAAAAGTTCAAATTACCGATATACAACCATTATTAATCCCTTGTATTATTTACTTTCGCTGAGCTCGTGTAGCATTTTACTACAATTTGGAAGAAAAGCAACAAAATTTTGCATTCTACTTCAAGCAATTATTTCATTTGATACATAAGGAATGAACAACATTGAGTTTTGTTAAATTAATCTAAAAATCTTCATTATGAGTCTCACTTGTCATTGTATAGCAAGGGGTTAACACCGTTTTGTATATTTTCTGTACATATATTTATATATCACACTAAGAATTATCGAATAATAAAAATAAGTATAAGATACTTTTATTCGAATATGATAGAATTCACATATAGTTTACCTGGATTATTAGCTCTGAAGCGTATAATTGCATATCCACCCCTAGGGATTTTAACAGTGTCTTTGCCAGGCGGATTCTTGTATTCTCCCCGTTGAAGACGTTTCGTGTGTTCACTCAATATTGTATTGACATCCATCGCGGTGATGTTAGTAGTGCCCGTAACAATGCTTTGAATGGACAACACGCTGAACTCGTAACCATGTAAATGGAACGGATGGTCTAAGCCGTCCAATGGATCTGAAATATAATCCACGATTAAAAATCTTAATTGTTAATTTATGTCTTCTGACGCATCTTTCTCTGTGTAATGTAATTATAAGATTTAACACATTGTTGACCGGTCACGGGTTAACTCGTGTTCGCACTTGCATTAGCTATTTCAATTTTTGAAACACAGAGCAATATAGAACATCGCAAAAGCAAAATATTCAAAATTATATTTCAATTCATTATATGTAAATAAAGTATACTGTAGTTCATTTGGATTGTTTCACTCTCATATTTAATTACGAAATAACCGGTGACATGAGATAGCATGGAATTGCCGGTCAACAGTGTGTTAATTTCTTAATGTAAGCGTTCAAATTAATATGTTATTGACTAGAGTGACCAAGAACCAGCAACGAATGGAAAAAAGAAATAATTCCTTAGAAGAAGATTACTTACTGGAGTCGTATATTAAAATTTCAGCTACAGCACCGCGGTTTACGCGGAGTACTTGAGTACAAGTGCAAGGCTGGGTGCAAGTATTAGGTGCATTCTGCCTGCAAATTGTTTCGTAACTCCGGCTGTCCGTCAGCAACGGCGAGGCCGGAGTCTCGTACGTGATGTTGTTGAACGTTGAAATTAACTGAGACCTATCGTTCACATCTGACAAAGAGAAAAACACGTTAACGAATTTTGATCTGTTTCTATTAAGTACGTGTGCAAATGAACGTTGTAATTTAACCCTTTGCACTCTGGAGGTGACTCTCAGTCACCACTCGATTGGTGCATCAAAATTGTAAAATTTCGTATTTACATTAAATGTGGAAATAAAATACCATTGTTCCCCATATTTTGTGAATAGATTCCTCGTTAAGTTAGTTAAAAAATAAATTGAATATTTCTAGTAACAAATTTTTGGAGTGCAAATGGTTAATATAAGTTTGATGTTTAATATTGAACTTGGTATAATACATCACTACGTGAAATATAATAAAATACTCTCGCCCCTTAATTTATCGATTAAATTAGTTACATCAGTAGCAACAAACGTCGTCTATATTTTATCGAAGTGTTGAATGTTTCTAACAGAAAACTTTCGAATGCAAAGGGTTAACACGTTGAACACATTAAACCAAGTCGAATTACTATAACTCACTCAATCGAACGATGATTATTATTTGAAAACGCGTTCATATTAGAAACAATGCAGCCTGAAACTACGTTTAGCAAGATAACCGTACAACGATGATAACGCGACAAGAGAAACGTAAAAGCAACAGTGCTGCGAACTTAATGTACAATAAAAAAGAGAAGAAACGTATACAGGACAGATAAAAACGAAGAAATCAGGTACCAAAGAAAGCTCGGTATGTAGGGCCCGAGTTGAAGAGCAGTCTGTTGCCGTATTGAGTGTAATTGAAGAACCAGAAGTTCATCACGTGCCGTACATCTGGAACGACTTTCAGGAGGTCCGGGTCAACTTCCTTCACGCTTTCTAATTGATTCGCACAAACCACTGTCTTTGTGTCCTTTGTGTTGCATTTACTTGCATCCAGCGAGTTGTATACCTGATCGATACACAAATGTCAAATGTAAATGGAATGTTCTTTTCATTATTTCTCATCGTCTGTACGTTTAACGTTTACACCAGCTTCTCTTTGACAATCACGTAAACTTCCGTAAAATTACTGTCACGTTGAAGGAGAGTGACGCTGGGAAATTTGAATATCTACGAGCAAATGTAGTGCAGGTATTAAGGAAAGTATTATTACTTACAACACCGGAAACAACATAATCGTAGCTCGGTTGTGGCGTCGACGGGGTCGCCGGAGCACCTTCGTATTGCAAAATGGCGAATTGTTGAACTTTTTTGTCGGCACATTCGTTGAGACCGCGCACTTGTATCCAATATGAATCCACCTTTTGATTAGTCTCTATTATCACGTCCGCGCGTTCACCTGTCACATGAACGTATTAATATTATTTTTATAAACAACTGTAAACTATATAAATATAATTGATGTGTACTTTCCTACGACTGTAATTTGACATAAAAATATAATACCAACACAATATGGACACCGAAAATGTAACACCAGTACCGAGCATCTATTAGGGTTGATATGTAATTCTTATGAAGATTGTAACAACACACTTTTCCTCGATTTCTTCTGATATTCGTTATTAATATTTAAATAAAACTATACATTCCCAAAACCGTTTCGGTGTTGAATACTTTCAAGATATCAATAATTGCAAGATAAGGAAACTAAAACCCGTCGTTCTGACGAGTACGGTAGCTCTAGCGTTAAAGAAAGTTGAATAGTTATTTATTTATTTGTTTATTTATTTATTTACCTGTCGAGAGGACAAGACTGTCCACTACTTTAGGCTTCACGTTCGCGCCGTCTTGAGCGATGAGGGTACTCCTGTGTTCGTGGATGATCAGTTCGGACGGACAGACAGTGCTGAACGAGTTAATTATTCGAATTCTGTATCTTAGCTTTGGCTTCACCGGGAACACTGTCAATTTTGCATTGGTAGTCTTTTTGGTTTCTGGATCCTAAACACGGACACGTTACTCCGATCATTCTTGTTACATGAAATTCTACAGTTTCTTCTGTTCTAATTCTACAGAATTCCGCTGAATTCTTTAATTACATGACAATCTCGTGTCTCACCGTCCAATTTCCTCTTCCGTTTATAAGAATGTTCTGAGCAGCTTGCCCGAGATCCTTCCTGTAGAAACCCGGGAAACGTTCCAAGGATAAATGGTGCATCCAGTCGGATAAGAATATAACGGTATCGTCGACGTCGTACAAATCTGCGTGTGGATCGTCGGGATCTCTTATAATCAGTGGCCCCTCTTGCCCGTCCATCATGTACATCATCACATGCGAATGATAAAAGTGCGTGCCCGCATTTCCCGCGTTGAAATCGTACCTGAACACGAGAATTCATTTCCTGTCACTGTCAATGCTAAACGTGCCGCGGTCAAACGACTGATTTTTCGAAATTCGGTCGAAAATTCTGCATTTTCTTTTGTCCTTTCACCTTTACATCGATTCTTATATTGCCCGATTAACCCTTTGCACCCGAGTGGTAACTCTCAGTCGCCATTTTATTTGATATAATGAAGTCGCAAAGTGTTATGTATAATATTAAGTTTTGTATAATGCATCAATATGTGGAATATTTTTATGAAATAGCTTTGTTTATGAAAATATCGTCGTCTATGTCTCGTTGGAAATCGTCGCATGTTTCTAGTGAAAAGCTTCCGAGTGCAAAGGGTTAATCGTTTCTTTTTTAACTTCCGCCTTTCCTTCTGTTTCCGTGTTCGCTACGAAAAGTTTATCGTTTAATTTCGTCACTTTTATTTTATAACCAGGTATTTTAGCGTTAAAAAGTCGAGATCGGTTCCAGCTATACAATTAGATATTTTTAACGATGACCTCTACCTTCTGCACGCGACGATCTCTGTTTAACAAACATCTTCCCTTGTATCGATAAATAATCAGTGAATAAGTGGAAAAGGATAGTAGTAACAAAATTTTTAATAATAATTGTAAATTTAATGTTCGCGAAGAAAGGAAATATTTTCTATAGAAATGAGATTAGAAAGAAGAATGTGACTACTTACAAGACAACTTGTCACATGTTTTGCACAAATTACTATGCGTATAAAACATTTGCATAATTTACTGTTGCGACCGGCTAAAGCTCGATGCTTCTACTTATGATAACATAACAAACGTTGTAATTAAACTTTCAAGCGAACGATACAAACGAACGAAGAAAAATGTTTTGTTGAACGATGTTCAATAAAATTTTAAATCTGGTTCGCGATACGCTCGGCGTTGATTTTATCAATTATTGCTGTCATTTTGCGTTTTTTATTTTCGCTTTTGTTTTTGAAGAAAAGTACAGTATAAAAGAATTATTACCTGAAAGTCGACGATGAGGGTATCGGGCACTGTGTGACGTATGGAACGCCATCGTAATATTGGTAGCCATTTTGGAATAGTCCGTGCCAGTGCATGGTCACTTCGGTGCCCGATGCAGCATTCGTTATATCTACTACGATCTGATCGTTCTGACACACCTGTATAATTATTAGAAAACAGTCTTTCAGAATTTAGAACTCTATAACATTAGGGTATCTTCTGCGTCAACACTGTTATGTACTTTGAAGCCATTTTCTTTTTTTCACCGATTAACACGTTCACTGCCACGACTTTTTGTCACCGATGACCGAAGCTTCCAAATTGCTGAACAACAATTACAATAAAGAACTTGATTTTAAATCGAAATATTTAGTAACATAAGTAGCTAGATCATAGCGTAATATGACTACTGTAATACTAGATCGTTAATCATTACTTTCAATATTATTTGCCTTTGTTACTCAAGAATAAGTGTCACTATTCAAAACGCTAGAAAGTCTCGTCAACTCGATACCCAAAATAATACTATTTCTTTTTAACAATTTTCCTTAAGTGTTTCATTTGAATATATATTACATTAGGGGCGTACATATATTAGGCGCGTCTATCGCAAAGTGTATGCTCGTCATTAGTTGATTTCACTGCACACGGGAGATTTTTAAAAACTGCCACGGTTAACTGGTAAAATATGAAGAACGTTGTTTTATTTATAACAACGGATTTAATTACCTCGATAGCTGGTCCTGGAAATTGCCGGTTGATCGACGTCATCGTCTTTTCAACCCCATCGGCCCATATGCATTCTTTCCATTGTTCCTTTTTATCGCAAGCACTGGGAAACGGTGATCATTGAGATTTAACTATCACCATTTGTTTCGCGTCGAAGAATAAAAGTAAATCTTCCGTATTTTCACAAATCGAATATCTTTGTTCTAAGAATTTAACGCGCACGCTAGATGAGAATGGAAGTATATCTTTAACCGATGTGTGCCACGATATTGAAATCACACGTCGAATGATGAACTTTATTGTCTTCGTTGAAGTAGAGATTGTGTATACGTACGGTCCTAGTACTGTGTAGAACTCAATGAAGAACTTGTAGTAACAAATTTTGGGCTCTTCGCCTAGAACACACTCCCGTTTGCATTCTTCTGGTGTTGACAGTAGGGACGACTCGTTGAACGACGACGACGACGACGACGATGGCCATGCCCATGACGATGACGATGACGATGATGACGCTGACGCTGATGACGCTGACGCTGATGCTGACGCTGACGACCACGATGATGAATATGAATTGCCCTCTAGATGTAAATTACAAGATATATTGGAAACGAGAAGCTTCAATTTTCAAATATTCAAGTGGTTTTCCATTCGTGTAGCATTTTTTAACAAATTTCTTTTTTTATTCAAAGCGTCTCATGGAGAACATGTAATTTCAGATATTTAACTGCTGGAGAACCCTTCATTTAAAATCTCGGAGAACCATTTTCGGTAAATTTGCTACGTAGGCTGATGAATAGTCAGAATTATTTTCCTTTGGTTTTTAATTAGTTCATTGAATATTACTTTTATAGTAGAAAAAGTTTCTATAAAAAGATGAGAAAAGGGAAGACTTGTGATATACACCGTTTGAAAACCGAACGGGCCCGATTCAATGTTGAAACTATGTGATTTTTAGTCCACCGAGTGTTCAAAGCAGTTTAGGAAATTACAAATTTCAAGCTATGGACTTTCGTACATTGTTAAATCTGTACTTACGACAGTGCGTTAATTTTAAACTGGTTGAAACTATCACGAGCAATACGAAAAGCTTCCACGGATTAAGAAAATGGCCGCTAAGGGCGGCAGGCTGCAGTGACGCCATGTTTACGGTCCGGATCTCGAGACTCGGCTTCCTTTACTCATTTATATGATGCGACGAAATAGAATGTTCAGTTTTTACCTCATCGACGGCCTCAAATTTATGGAAAAACGACGGTCCGTTTAATTGTGCATTGTTATCGGTTCGTGCTTCCGGTTATCAGTTACTTTTTAATAATGCTGTAAAAGGTGCCTATTATTTGAAGCGTCCCAACGACATTAGACAAATTGCGCGATGTCAAAAACATCGCATGACGATACGAACTTATGCTGTAATTACGATGCAGTTAAATAAAAAAGCGTTCTCTTATTCGAAAAAACATATTATTCAGCTCGCGCTATTCACTTCACTTTGATCGTTGTGAATGATTTGAAGGATATATTACACACTTCGAAGCGAACTTTATATTCACATAGTTCTGAAATCGTATCGTTTTGCATCAATTTTAATATTCACGTTTTCGTCTAACGATAATTTGTAATTTTATGGTAAATAGATTCCAGTCTACCATATTATCAATAATCGTCAAGCTGTCGAAATTGTCCAAACACTTCCTGGAAATATTGACTTTTTACTGATAAATAGACCTTCGTGGTCTAATTGTTTCCGAGAAATATATACTCTGTAAAAACAATAGAAAATACGAAGTTGGATGTTATGAACGTAAATTAATTTAATAAATAATATTTGAACCAATACTTTTGATATCCGTGTAAGGATTATATCGGTCGTTGACGTGAGAACAATAAATGTTTGGAAAATTACCAGTGCATTAACCAACAACGTAATATCATTAAAAAATGTATTTCTTTTACGCAACGTAAGATTATGGATAACAACGACTATAATTAGATGGTTTCTAAATTTGTTTTAACAAACATTCAGTCACGACTACCATTGTATATCACAGTTTATTATATTCTGATATAATAATCTATGAAATAATTTCTTATTTACGAAATCGCTATATTTTAATCAAATTTTATACTTTACGTTTAGGAAAAATATACAGATATTTGTTATCTGTTTTTTAACATAAATGTAATAAATAACTTAGGTAAATAAGGACTTGACCTATTCAAATATTCATTCACGATAAATAATGATAATTGGATAAGGGAAGATAATGAAATTGGCACTTAGTTTATCTTCTCATGGTTATATTTATACCCGGAAATACAATATTCCCATTCATTATACCTTTCTTTTCATAGTTTATAGTTGAAATTATTTTCAAAAAATTTCATTTGAAATTCCAGCAATATGAATGAAAATAATTTTATTCTTTTACGATTTCACATGTTACAATTTCAGAGGAACATTTTTTGTACAGAGTATTGGCGATTACAAACAATACGAGTCATTTCAATCGAAATCCTTTCCTTATACGGTGATATTAACAAAAATCTTCTTTTCGAGTGATAACTGCAATTTACCGATTACATGTACAGTCCATATAAAACCGTAAAATTGTTGAGTTCGAAATAATTGATCAAATGACTGCTCCATTTTCCTTTTTAAACTCCATTTGTATTTATATTTCACGTTGCATAGCAGTTGTACATGTAAATATGCTGGGATATTTGA